TAATAGTGAAAAGACTAAAATACCCTTAAAAGTTTGAATTTTAGTTTTTATAATTAAAAATTTCTAAAAAACCCCCTAGATTTACAAATTTAACTAAATAACCCAATATATAAAATTTTGTAAAATAACAAAAACACCCCCACCACTGCAGTGCCAGATTCGGCCACCACGCGGGAATCTGACCGAAAAGTTGCATTACGACCAAGACCCGTCAGATCTGTGTCGTAACGCATCATCCGTGGTTGATCTGGTCGGAAAAGGCCAGCTTACGGCTAGATCTGGCCGTCGACGCTGCAAAACTCCATCTGCGGTGTCGACGGCTAGATCTGGCCGTAGATCTGGCCTTTTCCGGCCAGATCTGGCGAAAAAGGCAAGATCGGCGCGTTACGACACGATCCGACGGGTCTATGTCGTAACGCAACTTTCTGACCAGATTCGACGGTGGTGGCCAGAATCTGGCACTGCGGGTGGCAGGGGTGTTTTGTTATTTATATAAAATTTTATATATTGGGGTATTTAGTTAATTTGTAAACCTAGGGGGTTTTTTAGAAATTTTTAAATTTTTAAAAAACTAAAATCCAAACTTTCAAGGGCATTTTAGTCTTTTCACTATTAATAAACAGAAATCACTAACCGAACATGACAGAAGGTACCTATTTGTCGTTTCAAAACCTTTTGAGTATCAACTTGTTGTTATGAAAATCTTGGATGCACAAGTCGTTCAGCCTTTTTTCTGGACATAAACTAATGTTACCACGAGATTCATTATTCATACGTCCATTCTAGTAAATTGACATTATAATTTGGTGTAAACGACTTTTAATTGACTGGCATACCCAAAGGCTCGTTTGTCTTCTTCCAAAACATCTATGGTTTAGATTAATATAAATTTAATAATAAAATAATATTTTAAAAATCTTTTTATGAAAAAGAGTTATTAAACTATTATTTAGGTGAAAAAAGTTATTAACTCTATGATTTAATTAAACACGTTTTAGCCGTAGGATATTAATACCGTATGGACTAGTCTTGAATTTATAATTTACAGACTCTTGTCAGAGGGATAGCGATGGCTTTAATTCTAAAACATCAATCAGAAAAACTAATTAAACCTTTTGCAGATAAGAATCATCCTATAAAAACCATTCAGAAGTAAAACTTTCGGCATCAATTTCTTTTCTTTGTACAAAGTCCATGCTTCAATCTCAATAATCATGGCTTCCAAAACTCTCCCAAAATTACCTGTTATAGACTTATCATTGAGGGAAGACTTGAGGCCTGGTACAAGAACCTGGGAATCGATGTGCAAAGAAGTTTGCAATGCTCTAGAAGAGTATGGCTGCTTTGTGATCAAATGCAACCAAGTTTCTTTAAATCTTCACAGTGAAATCTACAGTGCAGTCCAGGATTTCTGATTCAAGTCAGAAATTAATGAAGAAAATAATCAATAATTGTAACAAAATTATTTTCTTTTCAGTTTCAGTCTCTGTAAGTTTTCAATTTGATCTTAGCCCCAAGGGGTTGGCTTGGCGATTAAAAATGTTTATTCTATTTCTTAAGTTTCTAGGTTTAAATCTTGGGACTACTTACCATAATAATATTGTGACTTACTTGATCCTTTGAACTTATAAAATGTTAAATAAACCTCGAAGATTAGTTGAGATATACGCAAATTGGTCCGGACATCCTAATTATCAAAAAAACAAAAAGTTTCAATTCTATCATCGTATTTTGTTATAACAGTGAGAAAATTAAGATCTTAATTATAAGAATAATTATTCTAAAATCCCCTGGAGATTTGGGCATTGTTTAGTGTGGATTTTAGCTTTCTGCAGCTGGAGCTGTGTATGGTTGGGCTACAAAGGGTGTGGGCTGTCCCATTTGTATTGGTTTCTCTCTGGGCCTTTTGTCATTTTATTGGTGTAGTTGCTTACTTGCTTTTGTCCATTGTTTAGTTTTGCCTAGGCCTGGCTTTTTGTTTGGGCTTTTGTTTGTAAAGGATTGTACATCGTTGTGAATCACTTGGGATTTTTTTTTTTTTTTTTTTTTTTGGTATAGTTACAAATCTTGGGCCTGTCCAAGATTTTGGTGGAAGGAGATTTCCTCCTGCTAAGTTGTATTTTTTTATTCTTTTATACAATTATCACGTTTACCAAAAAAATTAATTATTCTAAAATCTACGATGTTCATTTAGGAAACCTTACGTTATTAAATTATATACTCAATTAATTTATAAGAGGCAACCGATGATGACATGCACCTCTTTAAATTTTTACTCAATAAATTATTTTATTCGTTTATGTATGAATAAAAAATTGAGTATTCTATTGAAGTTCCAATTATGTACGCAAATGAGATGAGTACTGAGTAGCTTGGCAGTATCTTGGAGCCTATAAATTACCCAATTCGTTCAGTTTTAAATATTGGACATTGCCTTCACTGGATAATAATGCCTATTTAGGGTGGAAAGTTGGTTTTGACCATTCAACAATTCGGTTTTAGTCAAATATTAGCTTTAAAGACAATTTTGCCTCCAAAAAGTTTGAAAATGATAATTGTGCACAAACCATTAATTTTATCCGTTAATTTAGTAAATTCAAAAACATTAAAGAGTAATTGTGTTATTTTATCCTTACATATATGTGTGTGTGAAAAAAAAACCTAACCTCTTCCTTCTTCTTCTCGGTGGCGCGCTTTAGCAAGCGCTACCATTGGCGTTGTGGCCATTTTTTTGGTCATTTCTTCACCCAAAACCACCTCCATCTACCCTTCTGACCCTCTCTCACTAAAAACCACCTAATTCCAACACCAATGCACCCATTAATCGCGAAATCTAGCCATCGTTCTTCCTGATGACTACCTCTATTTGAGGCTAGATTCTTGTCGATATTCACACTCGAAATCCACCATTCCACTACCATTCGAATTCTCATCAACCTCTTCAAAACCCAACCTTCCATCTGACACCCCCACTCACCATTTTCCGTCGACCACACACTCTTTAGCCGCCCTCCAACTATATGACAGATCTTATTTTCAAAAAATTATCATCTTATCCTTTTTTTAAATAAATTTATTAAGTTCTTAACAGTAAGACAGAAACTATCTAACAGATCTTTAACGTAGTAGGCAATTGTCATTTTTAAATTTTTTGGATATAAAATTGTCTTTAGGGCAAACTTTGGGTGAGAACATGTCCTTTAGCCTATTTTTATTTCCATAGACATCAAAGGATAAATTGCTATTCATCCAATAAAAAGCATTGAAACGTACAAATTACTGTAAAATTTTCTCTAATAATGCTAACAGGATTTGTTCCATAGTCGGGATTAGCCTTATTAATTATGATATTTTGACCTCGATTTTTTTCTTAAACCAAACATTCATCATGCAGGGATTGCTGGATCATTTATAACCATTATAATTTCTTAACAAGGTTAACTTGATTAATATCGATTGGGTGCAGCTGGATCTATATACACGCCATCGATCTCTGTATATCATTTGATTAAAATAAATAACTTCATCAATTGAGAAATTTTTTCTGTTGAATAGCATAAACTATTGATATGTTTGCGGCCGGCCGTGGAATTTATAGCACTTTAATCATAGCCTCTCGTCTTAGGAGTTAGGGATAGTGGTGGCTTTAATTTTCAAAATATGAGTATGAAAAGCCAAAAGCAGGTGTTACATCATTTCTGTGTATCCGTTCCACTTTGTCACGGTTCAACATTTTTTCCGGGGGAGAACAACATACACATACCCAAGGTTTATCGTAACAACAAATTGGTACCTAAAAGGTTTTAAAATGATAAATAAGTACTTTCCGTCATGTTCTATTAATGATTTCTGTTTATTAATAGTGAAAAGACTAAAATACCCTTAAAAGTTTGAATTTTAGTTTTTATAAATTTAAAAATTTCTAAAAAACCCCCTAGATTTACAAATTTAACTAAATAACCCAATATATAAAATTTTTGTAAAATAACAAAAACACCCCCACCACCTGCAGTGCCAGATTCCGGCCACCACCGCTGGAATCTGACCGAAAAGTTGCATTACGACACAGACCCGTCAGATCTGTGTCGTAACGCATCATCCGTGGTTGATCTGGTCGGAAAAGGCCAGATCTACGGCTAGATCTGGCCGTCGACGCTGCAAAACTCCATCTGCGGTGTCGACGGCTAGATCTGGCCGTAGATCTGGCCTTTTCCGGCCAGATCTGGCCGAAAAAGGCAAGATCGGCGCGTTACGACACAGATCCGACGGGTCTATGTCGTAACGCAACTTTCTGACCAGATTCCGACGGTGGTGGCCAGAATCTGGCACTGCGGGTGGCAGGGGTGTTTTTGTTATTTTATAAAAATTTTATATATTGGGGTATTTAGTTAAATTTGTAAACCTAGGGGGTTTTTTAGAAATTTTTAAATTTTTAAAAAACTAAAATCCAAACTTTCAAGGGCATTTTAGTCTTTTCACTATTAATAAACAGAAATCACTAACCGAACATGACAGAAGGTACCTATTTGTCGTTTCAAAACCTTTTGAGTATCAACTTGTTGTTATGACAAATCTTGGGCATGCACAAGTCGTTCAGCCTTTTTTCTGGACATAAACTAATGTTACCACGAGATTCATTATTCATACGTCCATTCTAGTAAATTGACATTATAATTTGGTGTAAACGACTTTTTAATTGACTGGCATACCCAAAGGCTCGTTTGTCTTCTTCCAAAACATCTATGGTTTAGATTAATATAAATTTAATAATAAAATAATATTTTAAAAATCTTTTTATGAAAAAGAGTTATTAAACTATTATTTAGGTGAAAAAAAGTTATTAACTCTATGATTTAATTAAACACGTTTTAGCCGTAGGATATTAATTACCGTATGGGACTAGTCATTTGATTGATTAACTAAGAATAAAAAATGACAAGTATGATTGAAAACAAACCGTCAAAGCCAAAACAAACGTTTTCATTTCAACCTAACAAAGTAATAATGCAAACACTTGTTATAGATTTATCATCAAGGGAAGACTTGACGCCCTGTACAGAAATTGGGAATCATCCTATAAAAACCATTCAGAAGTTACAGTTTCTGCAACACCCTCTTCTCTTTGTATAAATTTCAAGCTTCTATCTCAATAATCATGGGTTCCGAAACTCTCCCAAAATTACCTGTTATTGATTTATCATCAAGGGAAGACTTGAGGCCAGGTGCAGAAACTTGGGAATCAACTAGAAAACAAGTATGCCACGCTCTTGAAGAGTATGGCTGTTTCGTGATTGAAAGCAGTCAAGTTTCTTTAGATCTCCATAGTGAAATCTACAGTTCAGTTTTGGATTTGTTCGATTTGCCAGTAGAAATCAAAGAGCAGAAACCTGCTCATCAGAGGGACCATCCTCTCGGAAGGTCAAGCTCATTTAGCCCTAAACATGAGCGTATAGACACTGAAAATTTAACCACTTTAGAAGGAGCTCAGAGTTTCACCAAACTCATGTGGCCCTGTGGAAATCACCGATTCTGGTAAGTATTTGCCTTATGTAAGGGTGAAACCAGGATTTTTATTTTGGGGAAGGCTAAAATTTTTTTGTAAAAATAAAAGTACATGCTGATTAAATTAACATTCTTGTGTTTTAATTATTTTTTTGGCAGTGAAAGTGCCCATGAGATGGCAAAGATTATGATGAATTTAGATCAAACGATTGTGAGAATGGTATTCCAGAACTATGGGGTAGAAAAATACTTTGACTATTACGTTGGATCAATGAATTATGTTATTGGGTGCAGCAAGTATAAAGAATCCGAGACGAACGAGAGCTATTTGGGTCTTCTCGCCCACACTGATAAGTCATTTTCAACCACAATTCATCAGAATGGTGTTAATGGACTGGAGATTCAGACAAAAGACGGGCAGTGGATTCTTTATGATCCCCCCTCGCATTCATCGTTCATATACCTTTCTTCTGATGCATTCAAGGTGGGGCTTAATTATATAAACATTTAGTTATTTAATTGATATATATATATATATATTGATTCATTATCCTTGGTGGCTAAACATTGTGATTTTATTCTGGATTGGCTATATAAGGCATGGAGCAATGGCAGAGTACGTTCATGCTGTCATCGAGTCATTATGAATGGAAACAAGACCAGAATTTCGTTGGTGTCCACTACATTTCACAAAGGGCCGGCGCTGAGTGTTCCTGATGAGCTAGTTGATGAGGAACACCCTTTGCGATACAAGCCATTTAATCACCTTGAATATCGTAAAGTGCATATAGAATTAGGCTTGAAGAAAATTGGGTACTCTATTGAAGCTCACTGTGGTGTCTAATAGACCACTTTTCGTCCTATATATATAATCTTTCTGGCTATATTTGCTATTTACTTGATAAGTGTCACATCCTTAAAGTCAGTGTTTTGCCTTTTATTTCTGTATACAATATTGAATTATGTATGGAACATGGCATGAATAAATTTGAGCCTAATTGCGTGATGCATTGAATCCAAATATTAAAAATCGCGTGGTGGAAAAATTCGTTTTGAAATAAGAAAAAATAATCATGTTTGCTCAATAATGTCAACTTATTCATATAATATTTTTGTTGCGATAGACAAAGGAAAGGATATACTGTATTCTTCTAATACAAAGCATTGAAAAAAGTTACAGATACCTCTATCAATCTCTATAAATTAACTTAATTTGTAGCTTGGGAAGGAAAAAGAGAAACTATGGATTCCCCAAAACTTCCTGTTGTAGATTTGTCTGGTGAAGACTTGAGGCCTGTACAGAAATTTGGATCTCAACATCAAAACAAGTATGCCATGCTCTTGAAGAGTATGGCTGCTTCTTGATCAAATCCAACCAAGTTTCTCTAGATCTTCACAACGCAATCTATACAGCAGCACTTCAGGATTTGTTCAATCTTCCTAAAGAAATCAAACAGCTAATCAAATCTTCTTCCGAACAACCTTACCGTGCAGTTTTCTCCAACAATCTTAATCATGAAGGTATTGCTATGGGTGATATAATCAGTACTTCAGAAGCTATTCACCAGTTCTCCAATCTCGCGTGGCCTGCTGGAAATAGTCATTTCTGGTACGTTTTTGCCTAGCTTAGTTTGATGTAATATAAATCAATTAGATAACTATATTTTGTTGTTTCTTTATTTTGGCAGTGAGAGTGTTAATGAGATTTCAAAGATCATGATGAATCTGGATCAGACAGTATTGAGAATGGTGTTCCAAAACTATGGTGTTGATAAGTACTATGATTCTCAAATTAGATCAACCGACTATGTTACTGGATCCTCCAAGTACAAAGAATCTGAGAAGAATGAAAATTATGTGGGTCTTGTAATCCACACAGATAAGACATTTTCAACCATAATTCATCAGAATGATGTTAATGGGTTAGAGATTCAAACAAAGGATGGCCAATGGATTCTTTATGAACCCTCTTCACATTCATCATTCCTGTATCTTGCAGCTGATGCATTCAAGGTGAGCACATATCAAACATTCACAATTTTTTTTATGGAAATTGGCTAAATTATTATAGTGTTCAATTGATGTATGTTAATCTATTTTTTTCTGGTTTAGGCATGGAGCAATGGAAGAATTCATCCGTGTTGCCATCGAGTTACTATGAGCGTAAACAAGACAAGATTCTCACTGGGATTGTTCACGTTTCTCAAAGGAGTGACATATGTACCGGATGAGCTAATTGATGAGGAGCACCCATTGAGGTACAAGCCATTTAGTCACAGAGAGTATCACAGATTATTCAAAGAACACGGAAAGAAGAAAATTCAATACTCTATTGAAGCTCTCTGTGGTGTTTGAGATATATCAATTGGATAAGATTATCTATGGTGGATAGTGCTTTTGGAAAATAAGTTTAAGGGGCCCAACAGGCGCAGCTGAATTTTGACTTTTCGGTAGTGGAATGCTATTTTTAATATAATGACAAATTACCAATGCCGTGTAAGCCCATTGATGGATTGAGTTACTTTGTTTTCTGATTATTAGTTAACAATTATAGTGTTTGATTCTATAAAACGTCTTATCTCAGTCAAGGTTTTGAAACCGACCAGGGGTGTCACCCGACCAAGGGGTTAGAGTCGGGTTGATCGTCCAACTGGTTAAACCGACGCTCTGACTTGTGATCCAGAAAGTTTGAAATCTCGCAAACACTTCCTTATAATTACAATAAATCCCTCCAATTTTGAAATATAGCAAACACACCCCTATGATAGTTAGGGCTTTGATTTTTTCGGCTGAATTCCAGCTAATTCTACGGCCAAAATTCAATCGGACTTCACCACTTGAACCACCAGCCTCCAATCTTCAAAACCCGTCTAACCTTGGCACTTGGTAGCCCCTATTTGTTGATTGTGACTCGCATATACCGTCACGATTATATTATTTTTTCGACCAAATTCTGACTGATTCCGACGTCCAAAATTCACTCCAACACCACCCCTGAAACCATCGACCTCTACTCTATAAAAGCCCTCTAACCTTGATACTTAGTAGCCTCTCATTCGTTAACGGTCAGGTTAGGGATTTCGGGAATAGTTGAATTTTGTAACTCGGCCCAGTGAAGCTCCAGGTCCTAGTTCAACCAGCAATGCCAAGCTGGATTTTAAAACCTTGATCTCAGTAGTGGAACAATTATGAATGCATTCCAATCCGTTTTCATCAGATAAAGCCCTAATTAAATTAATTGTATAAATATGCTCGCTCTGAGAAGTGGGAACCAACAAACTACCTTTAGGTGACCAAGTGGTTTGATAGAGATTCTTGGGTATATTACTCAAAAGGTCTTGAATTCTATTATCTCCTCGGTTGTTAATAGGGATAGCTACTAGAACTCATACCCGACCAATAGTTCCAAGATCTCAGAAGATTAGTTGAGGTGCCTATAAACTAGTCTGGATACTCTCGATCATTAAAAAAAAGAACCAACCCAACTCGACCACCAATTCTCGGCATTTGTTTTGATGGACCCTTTTACAACTCTGGTAAACCACGAAAGATTAAGGCCCAGTAACGAAACTTTATTCCTTCAACATGGGTCACCCGACAAGGCCCAAGATAATGGAATCAGGATTTGATGGTAACGAGGGTGCCACTAAAATTTATGACATACAACTTGCTCTGGAATTTGGATGATTAATAATTTAATAATTAATATATGGCTTGTATTAATTTGCTTGGAGCCTAAGGGAAAATCCTTGCTGACAAAGAAAGAATATCTAGACATGGCCCCCTTGTTAACTTATTTATATAACACAAAGGATATATTAATTGCTTCAAATTACCTCTATCAGTCTATAAATTTCCAGCTGCAGAAGGAAAAACAAAAACCATGGATTCCCCAAAACTTCCTGTTGTGGATTTATCAAGTGAAGAGTTGAGGCCTGGTACAGAAACTTGGATCTCAACATCCAAACAAGTATGCCATGCTCTTGAAGAGTATGGCTGCTTCGTTCTCAAATGCAACCAAGTTTCTTTAGATCTTTACAACGCAATCTACACAGCAGTACTCCAGGATTTGTTTGACCTCCCTACAGAAATCAAACAGCTCATCACACTTACTTCCGAGCAACCTTTTCTTCATCGGTTCTCCGCTAGTTCCAATCATGAAGGTCTTTCTTTGGATGATTCAACAAGTTTAGAAGCCACTCGCAAGTTCACAAATCTCATGTGGCCTGCTGGAAATGATCATTTCTGGTACGTTTTCGCTTAACTTAGTAAGCATATGCGCATGTGCCTTAGTTTGCTGTAACTTTGTTGTTTTTCTGGTTTTGGCAGCCGAAGTGTTAATGAGATTTCAAAGATAATGATGAATTTAGATCAGACAGTAATGAAAATGGTGTTCCAAAACTATGGTGTGGACAAATATTATGATTCTCATGTTGGATCAACACAATATGTCACCGGATGCTCCAAGTATAAGAAACCTGAGAAGCATGAAGACTATTTGGGTTTTATGATTCATACAGATGGATCCTTTTCAACTATACTTCATCAGAACGAAGTTAATGGATTGGAGATTCAAACAAAGGATGGCCAATGGGTTCTCTATGAACCCTCCTCCCATTCATCGTTCATCTACCTTGCACCTGATGCATTTAAGGTGAGCATTCAAACTTAATTTATTTATATTGTGATAGATATAATTATAGATTCAAGTGATGTATCTGTGATCTTTTGCTTGGAATAGGCATGGAGCAATGGAAGAATTCATCCCTGTTGCCATCGAGTTATGATGAGTGGAAACAAGGCAAGATTCTCAGTGGGATTATTCACGTTTCACAAAGGAGTGATACATGTACCGGATGAACTAATTGATGAGGAACACCCTTTGGGATACAAGCCATTTAATCACCTAGAATATCGTTCTGCTAAGAAAATTGACTATTCTATTGAAGCTCACTGTGGCGTTTCATTATAGTAAATGTCTCATGATTTGTTTCAATTGATCAATCTAAGCGTACTATTCAACTTTATAATTAAATACGAATTATATGATATAATAAAATTGTGTTATTATTATATCACAGTACAAATTGATTTTGGTGAAGGGCCCATATCGAACAATTTTTTAGAGGTGTACTTAAGTGACTTTATATGAGTTTTTACATGTGAATTTATTTAGTTCAAACAATAATGGTTACATAAATCATTACTTAAGTACTTTAGTTTCAAACTTGAAAAAGACTAAATCTAAATGAACCCAAATAGAAACAAAATTAGCCTCAGCCCACTTGCTTTCAAAAACACTCTATTTTTTAAATAAAACAGTCAAATTATTCTAGAGATCAGGTAAATTAAATATAAATATGTACTAACATCAAACATTTTAAGGTGCAATAATGTTTTTGAAAATCTTGCTTTTTTTTAATTCAATTAAAACACCCCTTAAACAAACAAAATAATATCATTTCAAAATAGGTTTAATCCGATTTTCATCGAAGTTTCTTAAATAGATATTTTCCCCTCAAATATTTGAAATAATAATTTATTCTTTATTGTCAACGTTTCTTAGTATCTATGTCGTCTAATAACCTATATTACTTTTTAGTATGTTAGATTAAACAATAAAACATTTATGACAATAGTTTAATTGTAAATATACTCTAATCTGTTAAACTGAACAACAAAACAATAACAATAAGAGTTAAATTGTAAATTTCTGCTATAGATATAAAATCGAATATCTCTTTCAAGTACAACGGTCCACTTGAACAAGTAAATACAAAAATTGAAAATGCTCCCATATATTAGGGGGGAAATCCAATTATTTAAACTAAAGGGTATTTTGGTCTTTTAGCATATATGTCGATTAAGTGATGGAGCAAGACAACTAGGAGCAAGACTTTGATGATTAAATAAATATTCACTGAGTGTCAATGACGGCCAGATCTCTGGCCGTAGATCTTCTTGAACCATAATTGGGCTTTCATAATGGGCCTAATCAACAATATATTTTTCTAGTATCCGAGGGTGTCCCGGCAAGCTTGGGCATACCTCAATTAGTCACCTTGGGCCATAAAGTTAATAGTCAGGTAAGCCTCTAGTTGTTACCTCTTATTAGTAGTCATGAGGAGTCAAACTCAAGACCTCTTGAGTAATAACACCTAAGAGTCTCAAGCAAACCACCAAACTACTCAAGTAGTTAATCCAGTGATATTTTTAATTAACCACCATGTGCAAGCAAACCACCAAACTAACAGGTATTACTGCTCCACCACTTATAATCTAATAAGATCCATTTCTTAAATAATTTCATTAAAAATTTAATCTTAAATATTAATTACACCCCAGGATTAGTTGTAATATTATTCTTCATTATTTTTAATATCTTTTTTAATTGCACATGAATGGTGAAGGTGCTAAGATATTCAAAACATATTCTCGTAGAGTTTGAGTTAGAATTTATGGTGTTTGGTTTGAAAGAAAATAAGAGAAAATGAGTTGGAAAACTACAGTTAGCCTAATAAATTTGAAAATCACCACTTACACGCTTTATCTTCACTTTTGTCGATTAAATTTGAAAACTTATGTTCTCATCGTGATCTTTTAAGATTGTTGTGCGGTGAAATCCTTGAAGCATGAATTCACGTCATGTGTCATTCTTTTTATGTTAACTTTATTTATAAGTTTGTCATTATAATAGTATTTTACACCAAATTGTCTTCTAATATCAGAAAACTCAACTATAATCAGAAACAATCCTCGTATTAAACAAAGAAAGAGTGCAAATCAAGACAATTCAAAACCGAAAAAAATAAATCAAACCCATAAGGCAAGATGCATATGAAGAGAATCATATATTAATCAGAAGCCTCAATCACAATCAAACAATTCTCGAGTTATCTAATTCTACAAAGAGTAGTGTTTACATGGAAAATGCAATCTATTTATGAATTTGAGGAATGAATATGTTTATGCATTTGTTCTTTGGTCAAAACGCAGAGTTTTGGACTTCTTGGAAACACAACATTTCACTTTTTTTTTTAACGGAAATCATTTCCGTTAGATTTTAACCAACTTCAACAGACTTCAGTAACTGTGCTGTTAAACTAAGCAATTACCAGATTTTAACTAAGTTTTCAAAACACCCTTTTTCTAGAAATGGCATTGATTTAGAATCTATAGCCTTCAATCTGCTTCTCCAATATCCTCCCTTAAGCGAAACCAACAAAGTGGATTGAAGCTTGACTTGAGAGAAGACATTCATAAGTATTATCAGACAGATATAGATCAGATTTTACTTATATGCATTTGAATTCTCTGATGAGTTTGCCCCAATATCCTCTCGCAAACTGAGCGGAGAAGTCAAATTCAGCTTGCAATGTAGGACAATAAAACGAGCAGCCGCCAAGGGTTTGGTAAGGATATCAGCAACTTGAAACTCAGAAGAAATATATTGAACAGCATGATGTTTAGTGACAACTAATTCATGAACATAATGCACATCGATTTCGATTTGTTTGGTCCTATCGTGAAACATAGGATTTGCAGCAAAAGAACGTGCACTGGAATTATCACACCATGGAACAGTTGGTGAAGATGGAAGATTAATATTCAGCTCTTGAAAGAAATTTTCAATCCACACAATTTCAGTAGAAGCCTGAGCAAGAGAGTGATAGTCGGCTTCTGTAGAGCTTAATGCAACTACTTTCTAGTTCCGAGAAGCCTAGCTAATAAGATTTCCACCAAGCATAACAGAATATCCACTCATAGATTTACAAAAAAATATAGATCAACCATAAAGGAATTCTTATTCCTAATACAATTTATAATCCTGTTCATAATTGTATTTCTCTTTAATTAAATTTACTTTTTTAAAAAGATACCATCCTACCTAGAAATATCTTAGCAAAACACATATCCCAACACAATACTAATTTGGCTCCAATTAGGCTTCACAATCTGAATAGAAAAGGTAAAGGAAGAAGAAAAATACGTTATAGAGTAATCCTAGGTATATATAAAAACTCATTATACAAACTATTTCCTATAAACTGCAAACCCTGCACATTTGACATATCATTTATTCTAATTTGTTTAATTTATCCATAATTTAAAGTCATCAAATTATATTAACACACGTCCATTTGTATAAATGATTTTGTACGAGAAGTAGAAGCTTGTAAATACAATGTTACTTTTGTTCAAATTTTATTTAGAAATGGTGTGGATTGAGGATTTATGTGGAGCACCTTCGCCATTTCAAAGTCAATCAAATTTTCAAGGGATATTGTGGTCATTTCATGTATAAGATATCTGGGAACAATAATGAAAATGTGATAGAAATGATTCATGATGAGCTGTAAAAATTATTGGTGGATGTAAGAATTCGGAGAACACCTTTCCCCATTTTAATTGTTAATCAAATAGATAAGAGACATTATGGTCATTTAACAGCTAAAATTATTTTCCTTTAACTTTTTTAAACTTTTAATTTATTTTTCCTTTAGTTTTTAATTTTTTAGTTTGTTAATGTTCCTTAAAACATGGTTATAATCTTTTTTTAGTTTTTTTTTTTTATTTTTTAAATTCAGATTTTAAGAACCAAATTAACTTCAACAAAAGAAAAAAGAAAAAATCAAGAACATTTAAATCATTTTATATATTTTTTTTAAGTTAAAAAGATAAATAACTGTTAAATGTCCCTTAATAATTTGCAACTTTTATCCTTAAAAACATGATGGTAATTTTACATACAAGATGGACACCTATCTTACGTCATCTTACATTCAATTAACATTGCAAAATAGTCAAGGGATATTAAGGTCATTTGATAATCAAAGAGTGAAAGGACATTATGGTCATTTTACGTACAATATATTTTGGAAAACATGAATGAAGAGGTGATGTAACTGGCTGTGATTGACTTGTAAGTCTTCTAATTATGGTCATTCATTAGGAATAACTCTTTTGAAATTTGAATTCTTTGAGAGTTTTGATAATTAGCTACATACAAAAATTAACAAAAAGGCCAAACAATTACAGGACTATTCCTTTATGAATTAGTATTATTTTTTGTGAAAATAATGAAAAGAATTCAAATTATATATTCCCTCCGTTTCAAAATAAAAATCGTTTAAGTTATTACACGTATTTTTAATAAACTAATTTTGTAATGTAAAAAAATTTTCTCTTTGCTCTTCCCTGCGTGGGAAATGGAACGAAGAAAGAGAAAGAGAGAGAGGAGACAGGGGCATACTTCGAGAAAGAGAGAGAGGGTTGCATTTAGCCCAACGACATTTATTTTGGAAAAAATTTATAAGATTAAAATGACTTTTATTTCGAAACAGAGGCAGGGTACGAAAAATATAGATCAACCAAGTTACTAGCCCAACCCGCATCAGCAAAACCTTCCAAAAATAATGGATTAGAGGGCTTAAACAAGAGACCATGAGTTGTACCTTTGATATACCTGAGTATGACAGTCTACTCTGCAATCCAGGATTTGTTCAATCTACCTACAGAAATCAAACAGCTCATCCAAGCTACTTCCGAGCAACCTGTCCGTGAAATGTTCTCCCAGAATCCCAATCGTGAACGTATTAATATGGATTTAGAAGCCATCCGAAACTTAACTAACCTCTTGTGGCCAGCCGGAAATGATCCCTTCGGCTACATTTTCGCCTAACTTTGTAAGCGTATGTGCGTGCCTTGGCTTAATTTGATGTGACTTTTTTTTTTTTTTTTTCCTCTCCGTTTTGGCGGTCTTAAGTGTTAATGAGATTTCAAAGATAATGATGAATTCATTTCAAACGGTTGTGAAGATGGCGTTTCAAAACTATGGTGTAGACAAGTACTATGATTCTCTTGTTGGATCAACACGCTATGTTACAACGTGCGCCAGGTATAAGAAACCTGAGAAGAATGAAATTTATGTGGGTATTGGGATCAACACAGATAAGATATTTTCCACCATATTTCATCAGAAGGATGTTAATGGATTGGAGATTCAAACAAAGGATGGGCAGTGGATTCTGCACAAACCCCCCTCGCATTCATCATTCACTACTCTGCATCTTATGCATTTAAGGTGCAGGGCACATATTTTTTATTTATATTGTGATAGATATTTATTATAGATTCAAGTGATATATATGTAATCTTTTGCTTGGAATAGGCATGGAGCAATGGAAGAATTCATCCCTGTTGCCATCGGGTTACAGTGAGTGGAAACAATACAAGATTCTCACTGGGATTATTCATGTTTCACAAAGTAGTGTTACAAGTACCGGATGAGTTAATTGATGAGGAACACCCTTTGAGATACAAGCCGTTTAATCACCTGGAATATCGTAAATCAGTCACAGGACATGCTGCTAAAAGAACTCATTATGCAATTGAAGCTCATTTTTTTAACTGCAAATCAATTTGTTCTTAAATAGTTCTTACTCTTTTTTTTTTTTTTTTTTTTTTGGTGATCAGAGGTGTCTATATCAGTTTGTACGCACATCAATTAATCTTTCGGATCCCTGAAGTTGATGGTCAGGTAAATCTCTTCGGTGATCACCCTTATTAATAACTCAAGTGGATCAAACTCATAACCTCTAGAGTAATACGCACAAGAGTCCTAGTTAACCGTTGAAACACTTGGTTATTCCTTACTCTCGTCTCTCCACTTTGGCACTTTCTCTCTTCTCTTCACTTTTTTGGGTCTGCTTTTAGTGGATTGGATTAGTTTCATTGTAGAAGTGCGTGATGAAGTAGAATTTTTTTTATTTTTTTTCAAAATAATACTTGATTATATATTTTCTTTTACCAATTTCAATTACTTTTTCTATGTCCACAGTCCAACCACTCTAGATCAAGTGAGAAAATGTCAGTAGTGTTGCTTTCAGTCTGTCTCGAGTCCGAGACGGGTTCATTATAAACCTGCTATTTTATGTAGTGTTTGAATCAAAGAAAAAGAAAAACACCCTAATGGCTTCCAATTATGCAATATTGTCAATATATATACACTAAATAAAATGAAAGATTCCTGCAACATCAAGAAGGATTATAAATGAATCTCAAAGAGTTGGCTTAGTGGTCAAGGAGTTTTACTCCCTTCTTCAAGTGTCTAGTTCAAACTTTAGGCTATCTATCACAATAACATTGTGGTTTATCTAATTTTTTGGACTTGTACAGTGTTTAATAACATTCAAAATTAGTTGAAGTACCCATAAGTTGATCGGACACCCAATTATTTTTAGTCAACCATGTCAACTTCATAAGATGATTTTGGAAAAAAAAACATTGACTTGACTTATTGAATGATATACTGCTATTTTTCATCAATCTCTGTAAATTAACTTAATTTCTAGCTTGAGAAGGAAGGAAAAAGAAAAAACATGGATTCCCCAAAACTTCCTGTGATAGATTTATCAAGTGCAGAGTTGAGGCCTGGTACTGAATCTTGGATCTCGACATCAAAACAAGTATGCCATGCTCTTGAAGAGTATGGCTGTTTCGTTATCAAATGCAACAAAGTTTCATTGGATCTTCACATTGCAATCTACTCTGCAATCCAGGATTTGTTCAATCTCCCTACAGAAATCAAACAGCTTATCCAAGCTACTTCTGAGCAACCTGCCCGCGATGTGCTCTCCACCAATCCTAATCATGANAAAAACATTGACTTGACTTATTGAATGATATACTGCTATTTTTCATCAATCTCTGTAAATTAACTTAATTTCTAGCTTGAGAAGGAAGGAAAAAGAAAAAACATGGATTCCCCAAAACTTCCTGTGATAGATTTATCACGTGCAGAGTTGAGGCCTGGTACTGAATCTTGGATCTCGACATCAAAACAAGTATGCCATGCTCTTGAAGAGTATGGCTGTTTCGTTATCAAATGCAACAAAGTTTCATTGGATCTTCACAGTGCAATCTACTCTGCAATCCAGGATTTGTTCAATCTCCCTACAGAAATCAAACAGCTTATCCAAGCTACTTCTGAGCAACCTGCCCGCGATGTGCTCTCCACCAATCCTAATCATGAACGTATTGATATGGATGATTTAACCAGTTTAGAAGCCACTCACAACTTCAGTAACCTCTTGTGGCCGGCTGGAAATGATCACTTCTGGTGCGTTTTCGCCTAACTTGGTAATTAAGTAAATATGTGCCGTAATTTGATGTGATTGATTTGGTTTTTCTGTTTTGGCAGTCAAAGTGTTAATGAGATTTCAAAGATTATGATGAATATAGATCAGACAGTTGTGAAAATGGTGTTCCAGAACTATGGTGTAGACAAGTACTATGATTCTCATGTGGGATCAACACGCTATGTTACCGCAGGCGCTAAGTATAAGCAGCTTGATAAGAATAATGAAAATTATTTGGGTATAGTGACCCACACAGATAAGACATTTTCAACCATACTTCATCAGAAAGACGTTAATGGATTGGAGATTCAAACAAAGGATGGGCAGTGGATTCTGTATCAACCCCCCTCGCATTCATCATTTATCTACTTCGCAGCTGATGCATTTAAGGTGAGCATTCATATTGTGATAGATATTATTATAGATTCAAGTGATGTATTTGTGATCCTCTGCTTGAAATAGGCATGGAGCAATGGAAGAATTCATGCCTGTTGGCATCGGGTTATGATGAGCGGAAACAAGACAAGATTCTCTCTGGGATTATTCATGTTTCACAAAGGAGTGTTACAAGTACCGGATGAGCTAATAGATGAGGAACACCCTTTGAGATACAAGCCGTTTAATCACCTGGAATATCGTGAATCAGTCAGAGAACATGCTGTTAACGGAATTTATCATACCATTGAAGCTCACTGTGGCGTTTGATCCTAATCAATGTCTTATTGATAATTACCAAATGATCAACTATATGCTATCCCGCTGTAATAAATAAAGATTGTTGAAGGTGTCTTCTTGTTCGTCAACACTCGAACTGTAGTGCCTTCTGATGTTGTATTTCCACACCATGTACTATGTTAATATCAGAAAATCTAGCCAGTGTCTTTAATTTATTGCTTCTTGGATCTCTGTTAAAAGTTGCAGAGACTGATCTTATACGCTGGTCTAAATGACCATATTAGATCGCTTTTAGCTTGACGATGTCGAAAATGTATGACAGATGATTATACTAGGCACCAACAGAGATACTGAAGACTACAGAGGCAGCGGAGGCTTGGCAGCCAAAGCCATTAGACTATAAATCTGAGCTTTATCCAAGACAATGCCCCAGGTTTGATATGAACTAATCTTTTTTCTTAATGGGATCCGTCAATTCCCATAAGTATAATGGTATCCATCAAATTGCTTAAAGAATATATATATTCCAGCTACAGAAAATTTCACCACAGGCCTTGGTGGTGAGACTGGTATCGGTATCACATCCCCTTGTTTCAAAGGAAAAGAAAGCTCTAGATTTCAAAGCATAGAACAGGTTATGTGAAATTCTGAACTTAGTATCATAACTGCATAGAATAAGTTATATAATTCTACAAATCAATAGTATTTACATAGAAAATACAACAATATATTATTGCTCATTAATAATATTCCCCTCCTAACCATATAATAGAAAATACAACAATATATTATTGCTCATTAATCATATTCCCCTCCTAACCATATAAACTTACCCAATTAAACAACTAAATCATCCTCATCATCAGCAGAACATTTAGGCTTGCATTTGGGGGACCCAAATCCACATCCAAAACACTCCAATCTTCTCAATTTAAGCAACAAAGACAGCAAAATCCCACACCCAAACCCCAATGCAGCACTAGACCCAGTCAAAGAAACAGCAGCACAAACCAACATCACAAATGACTCTTCCTTACTGTTCATGTCTCTTGAAGCCATAGCCAATTCAATCCCTGCAAACAACAAAAGCACCCCAAGAATCCCAATTGGAAACTGGCTCAAAATCCTGACAAATGAATTCCCAAATACCAATCCAATCACCAACTTCCCAATCCCTAAAAACACCACAGACAACCCAGTCCTTGCACCAAACCTGTACTGCCCGGCGAGCCCGCCGGCTCCATGACATACCGGCATGGCCCCAAACCAGCACCCCACCAAGTTCATAGCTCCAACGCTTACAGAAACCTTTGTTGCTGAAATTTCTTCACGTTCAGGAAACAAATCACCGGACAATTTACATACAGCAATCACTGAGTTGAGTACTGACAATGGAATCTGAGGAATCGCTGCTCTTACAAACCCGATTTTCCAATCTTCCCATGTGATATTTAACAGTTTTATTTTCGATGGACCGAATCTTAGATCCCTGAAAATCGTAGGATCACGAATAAAACATAATATTAATCCGAATAAAAAAACTATGAGAGCTGCAGGAATTGCAGATAAAAGTCTCAATCTTTTATTCAATTTTTTATTGCGATCGCTTTGAGATTCATCTTCTTGAGAAATGTCTTGATCTTTATAGTCACCTGAACCGGTGGCGAGCACTAAAAACAAAACGGCTGAAAGTGCGATGATAAGACCGTCAAGGCCGAGCCAAGAACGAGAAGTTGTTGACTTGGAGGTGATAAAGTCTTGATTGTAACGGATGTATTTGATGGCGGAGAAGGCAAAGGCGAGGCCTTGAGAGAGCTGAACGCCGCGAACGACGGGAAGAGGGATAAAACGATATAGGATCGACATGAGTCTGGTGGTGCCGAGGAGGAGGAGGATGCCGGCAGTGGAGATGCCGGCGGCGGCGATTTGGGAGGTGGTGAGGTGAGGTGACTCGGAGACGGCGACGGCGGCTATGGACTTCATGGGCTGGACGGGCATAGGGAGGCCGAAGAGAAGGCCGGTAGAGATGTTGTAGAGAGCAGTGAAAATCAGAGTGGTTGAGAGGTCGAGGTGGGAGACTAATGTTAGAGTGAGGACTATGGGAATGAAGGTGCCGAGATCACCAACGGCACCGGAAAGCTCGGAGGAGATGCTGGTTTTGTGGTGGCTGCGGCGGCCATGGTGGGGGAGGAGAGGAGTGGTGGTGGCGGGTGCTTCCATGGATTAGAGGAGAGTGTGTTTTGGAGAAAAGAAGTAAATTACCACAAAAAAAACCGTTAAATTATCATCATAATTCTGCCTTGAATATATAAGATAAAGAAATATGATTGAAAACCACAAAAGACAAGGAGATTTAATAAGTCATGGAATAGAAAGGCCTGTTGAAAGTTAGATGGCTCCTCACGCACATGGAAAGCTTATTAAAGATCAATATGGCTCTTCGTGGATTTGTTGTGTAAAATTGGAGTAAACAACTTTTCCCACCCAAGGTTTCTCTTAATGATACTTTCCCATCAAAAATTTTCAAAATATCACTTTTTTACCTAAAATTTATATTATATTAATATCTAAAATATACTTTACTTACTCAACCAGCATTTAACAAGTTACTAAGAGCTAAAGTAAAAAGAGTTTTGTAGAGTAGAGACTAATGGATCAAATATTGGTGATTAAGTGAATATTTACCATCAGAATCAGCCGAAAATCAATTAAAAATAAGAGATTCTAACGTTACAATAGTCAACAATCGACGAAAAATCAAGCTTTGAAGTGAAAGGGGTTTTGTAGAAAGGATACCGGAGGTTCAAATAGTAGTAACGGAGAGAATTTTTCCATCAAAATTGGTTGGAATCGGCTTTTAAGCAGTAACGGAATATAAACTCTAGTGAAAAAGCGGTATTTTGAAATGTTTTAGGTGGAAAAAGAATTATGACAAATCTTGGGTGGGAAAAAAACAAACAGTAATGCTTCCGTCGAGCGCTCGGACTCATTGGCGAGAACAAACACAACTCTACCACCAATGATTGGCATTTGATGGGCCCTTACAAGCTTATGATTTATTGACCCAAGCCCACGATAAACACGGCCCAAAAAGAAAATATAATTCCATCAACATAGGGTCACCCGACAAGGCCCTAGATAATAAGCCAATCATAAATTAAAGTCTAATTTCCAAACTTGAAACGTTTATTTCACTCTTTTGAATCATTTTTTGTTATCTTATTTGAATTAAAAAACAGAATATATGTTTATTTACTTATTAGAATTATTATTCTGAAAATTTATCCGAATTAAATAAGATTCTTTTTATTGAAAATGAAAGGGGGGGAGGGGGGAAGAACTTGTTTTCTATTATCATATTTTATTTAACTCAAAATATTTTTCTAACTATATTAAATTAAAAACAATTACCTTTCACTTATTTTAATCTGAAAAGTAATCCACCCAAGACCACCACTGCTTGCCAGCAACCACCGATGGCCACTGTCAACATCAGAACGATGCACGCACGATCGATTGGATCTAGCCGATCGTGCATTGATCTTATCGTTTTCAGCCAGATCCACCGTGGATCTGATTGGAAACAACCAGATCTATGACCAGATCCAACCGTTAATGACCAGATTGCCATTGACGACAGCCAGATTTTGGCAATCATTTTGGGGGGCATTTTAGTTAATTTCTAAAATTTTATTATAGGGGTGTTTAACTAAATCAACAAATGTAGGAGGTTAAAAATAATCTAAATATTTTCAAAAAATGTACCAAACAACTATTCAGCATTTTATTCAACTCTTATATAATTTTTAGATATTGTACCAAATACATTCTCATAATCATATCCTACTCAATTTAATCCAACTCAACTCAATTTAAAATAGTTTTCAGAATAACATTTTTCAAATACAAATAATCTACCAAACAGGCACATAGATAGTAGTAACATTACTCTTCCTATTTTTCTATTATTAAATCAATATAAGAATTTCAAGTTTATCAACAATATATAACCCATCTGATTTTTCAAGTTACAAATACGACGTATAATAAAATAATTAATTGTTCAATGTTTTCCTCCTAATCTCACAACTTTTTCTTATAACCCCAATGTGGCCAACGTCGCAATTGAATTGGCAACTTTCACGTCAGCTCCCACCACGGTCATTTGCCAATTCAATTGCCACGTTGCCAATTCGTATAAATCAAAGCCATTTAATGCATTGGGTGTGATGGGAGCTGACATGAAAGTTGTAATGTGGCAATTGAATTGGCAACTTTCACATCAACAAATACGAACGATCGTTTCTTAGAAACAAACGATCATTTTTTCATAAAGAATGGCAATTCCTTCATAAGAATTGTCGTTCTTTATGAAGAAACAATCATTCATTCATAAGGAATGGTTATTCCCTATTAATAGAACAGTCATTGCTTATAAACGAATAGTCGTTCGTCTCTAAGGAACAGTTTAGTCAAAGTTGTCAGTTGACATGGTTGTGTCAACTCTACTGCAAAGTTAGGGTTGTAACAGAATGTTGTGAGATTAGGTTGTAAACATAGTATTTTTGTTAGGTATAACAAGGACCGGGTGGGGGGGTTGGGGGGTTGAGAGATTGTGATCCCTACATTTAGATACTAACTTGTTAAATAATATAAAAAGAGCAATGTTTTCCTTTTAAATTAGAGTAGTATTACACTTTTACACAAGGTTATTTATACAAAATAACATTTATATCATTTACTATCCTTTAATGTATATTTATTAATCTAACGGCACCGGAAAGCTCGGAGGAGATGCTGGTTTTGTGGTGGCTGCGGCGGCCATGGTGGGGGAGGAGAGGAGTGGTGGTGGCGGGTGCGTGTTGTTCTTCCATGGATTATAATAGAGTGTTTTTTGGAGAAAAGAAGTAACTAACTTCAAAAAAATCGTTAAATTATCATCATAATTCTGTCTTGAATATATAAGATCAAGAAATATGATTGAAAACTAGAAAAGATAAGGAGATTTAATAAGATATGGAATAGAAAGGTGGAGGTTTGTTGAAAGTTAGCTGGCTCTTCACGCAGACGGAAAGTTTATTAAGATAAATATGGCTCTTCCTGGATTTGTTGTGTGACATTGGAGTAAACATTTTTTCCCATCCAAGGTTTGCCTTAATGACACTTTCTCCCCAAAGTTTTAAAATATTATTTTTTCACCCAAAGTTTATATTATATTAATATCTAAAATATGTTTCACTTTCTCAGCCAACATTTAACGAGTTATCAAAAACTAACATTTAACAAGTTATCAAGAGCCAATGTAAAAGGAGTTTTGCAGAATAGAGGCTAGTATATCGAATGTTGGTGATTGAGTGAATATTTGTCATCAAAATCAATCGAAATCAACTAAAAACAAGAGACTCTAACTTTGTAATTGTTAACAATTGGCTAAAACTCAGGTTTTGAAGTGGAAGGGTTTTTGTAGAGAGGATATCAAAGGTTCAAATGGTAGTGATAAAAAGAATTTTTCCATTGAAATTGTTTGGTATCTGACTTTTAAGTAGTAATAGAATATAAACTGTAGGTAAAAAAATGGTATTTTAAAATGTTTTGGGTGGGAAAAAGTAACTAACAGTAATGCTTCCGTCGAACGCTCGGACTCATTCGTGAGAACAAACACATCTCTACCACCAATGATTGGCATTTGATAGGCCCTTACAATCTTATCATTAATTGACTCAAGCCCACGATAAACACGGCCCAATAAGAAAATATAATTCCATCAATATGGGTCACCCGACAAGGCCCTAGATAATAAGCCAATAAAAAATTAAAGTCTAATTTCCAAACTTGAAATGTATAGCCATGTCTGTTTCACTCTTTTGAATCATTTTTTGTTATCTTATTTGGGTTAAAAAATAGAATATATATTTATTTACCTATTGAGATCATTATTCTAAAAATTAATTCGAATCAAATAAGATTCTTTCTATTGAAAATAAAAGGGGAGGGACCTGTTTTCTATTATCATATTCTATTCTATTTAACTCAAAATATTTTTTTAACTATATTCAACTAAAAACAATTACCTTTCACTTATTTCAATTTGAAAATTAATCCACCCAAGATCATCACTGCTTGCCAGCAACAACCGATGGCCATTGTTGACATCAAAACGACGCACACACGACCGGTTGGAACTGGCCAATCATGCATTCATCTTGCTGTTTTTAGCCAGATCCACCATGGATCCGACTGAAAACAATCAGATCTATGGCCAGATCCAGCCGTTAATGACCAGATTGCCATTGACGACAGCTAGATTTTGTCAGTCATTTTGGGGGGCATTTTAGTTAATTTCTAAAGTTTTATTTTAGGGGTGTTTAGCTAAATTAATAAATGTAAGGGGTTAAAAACAATCTAAATATTTTCATAAAATGTTTTCAAAAAATGTATCAAACACCTATTTAGCATTTTATTCCAACTCTAATATAATTTTTAGATATTATACCAAACACATTCTCATAATCATATCGTATTCAGTTTAATCCAACTTAACTCAATTTAAAATAGTTTTTGATAATAACATTTTTCAAATAACCTACCAAACTGGCACATAGATAGCAGTAGCATTATTCTTCCTATTTTTCTATTACTAGATCAATATAAGAACTTCAAGTTTATCAACAATATATAACCCATCTGATTTTTCAAGTTACTAATTACAACGTATAATAAAATAATTAATTGTTAAATGTTTTCAAAGAAAAAATATTTTCATTATCAATATAATGATTTTGTATCCTAACATAGTAACATTATAGTTGGATTTGTTTGCAAGTATTTGAAATGTATATAAATAAAGACGACAATCGGGATCAGGATCATCATCCGAAATTGGTGTATATATCTCCATCATCACCTTATCTTTGAAATTTTATTTACACTCATCCCATCTTTAGACAGAGTAATATTACGCCCACAATCCAATCTCACAACCTTTTCTTATAACCTCAATGGCGCTAACGTGACAATTAAGTTGGCAACTTTCACGTCAGCTCTCACCACACCCAAGACACTAAATGACTTTGATTATATACGAACAGTCATTCCTTAGGGACAAACGATCATTCCTTCATAAAGAATAATTATTCCCTCATAAGAATCATTTATTCATAAGGAATAATTATTTCTTATTAATAGAACAGTCATTGTTTATAAACGAACGGTTCGTCTCTAAGAAATAGTTTAGTCAAAGTTGTCAATTAACATGGTTGTGCTAACTCTACTACAAAGTACAAAGTTAGGGTTGTAAGAGAAGGTTGTGAGATTGGGTTGTAAACGTAGTATTTTTCTTAGATATAGCGAGGACAAGTGGGGGTTAGGGTAGAGATTGTTATCCCTACATTTAGATATTAACTTGTTAAATAATATAAAAAGAGCAATGTTTTCCTTTTAAATTAGAGTAGTATTACACTTTTATACAAGGTTATTTATAGGAAGTGACATTTATATCATTTACTACCCTTTAATGTATATTTATTAACTTGACTTTTATATAAATTCATTTAGTTATATTCTAACAGGTCACTTTGTATAAAAAACTTTGTATACCGTTTTTATAAATATAGTATTATTTTTTAATAATATTAAACGTACAAAAAAATCTTATAAATTTTTTTATATAAGGTAATGTGGTAAAAAAGAAATGAAAGAGTCAAAGAGTGAATAAAAAAAGTATTATGTATGAATTATTTAAATTCATTTAATGTAGATGTTATTGAGCTAGTGGACCATAATTGGTCCTGGATAAACCCAACCAAGCCTAAAACACAATACAAATTGGTTTTGTTGAAGGGCCCATATGGAACAATCTTTTTGTAGGTGTACTTAGTGAATAAAGTGACTTTATATTAGCTTTTACATGTGAATTTATTTAGTTCAAACAATAATGGTTACATTAATCATTACTTAACTTTTAGTTTCAAACTTGAAAAAGTCTAAATCTAAATGGACCCAAATAGAAACAAAATTGACCTCACCCTTTTTATAACATCTCACTTGCTTTCTGTTTCTAATTCAATTTCATTTATTATGAATGCCCTCCAACCAAGAGAGATAAAATCACTCTATTTTTGAAAAAAAAAAAACAAAAAAAAAGTCAAATTATTCTAAAGAGAGGTAAATAAAGGATAAAATATGTACTATATTTTAATGTGCAATAATCTTTTTGAAAATCTTGCTTTTTTTGACTCAATTTAAAAACCCCTCCAACAAACATAACTATATCATTTCAAAATAGGTTTAATCTGATTTTCTATCGAAGTTTTTTAATAGATTTTTTTCCCTCAAATAATTTATTCTTTATTGTCAACGTTTCTTAGTATCTATGTCATTTAACAACGTATATTAATTTTCAGTATTTTAAATTAAACAACGAAACATTGACGATAAGAGGGTAATTATAAATATACCCTTAAACTGTTAAAATACAATAATTTTTTGCTTACAATAGAGTCATACAATGAAGCAAAATTCATGTAAAATGACTATTTTATCCTTTGTTTTTGTCTGAATATATGACTTAATTATAAATATAACATTACTCAAATAACAAAACATTAACTTTAAGAGTTAAATTGTAAACTTCACATATACATACAAAATTGAATATCTCTTTCAAGTACAACGGTCCACTTGAATAAGTAAATGGAAAAATTGAAAATGCTCTCCCATATATTAGGGGAAAAAAATCCTATTATTTAAACTAAAGGGTATTTTGGTCTTTTTAGCAGATATGCCAATTAACGACAGCTAGTAGCAAGACTTTGATGATCAAATAAAATATTTAATCACTCACTGGGACCCTCCTTATCTAGCCGTTACACCCACCGTCTGCCGACGTGGCACCGAATCCTTTATTTTTTAAGAACTCTTTTAAACAGGAATTCGACCGTTACCTCCTCTGCTTCCTTAACAAAGAGAAAAACAGAGCAATCTGTTTCTGTTGAACAATATAGAATAGAAAATCAAAATCTTCAGAAACAATGGCCGCCGAGTACATGTTCACTGACGATGACATGGTCGTCGACGACGGAGTCGGGTACCCGAAAGCTTACGCGAAAATCTGTAGAGACCGCGGCGTCGGTTTACACACTCATGGCCCTCCCTTTTGTTTCAGGCCTTACAGTTTGCAGCCGGATGAGGTAAGATTTTTTGTTTGAATGGATAGAAAGTGAAAGAAAATGGAAATGGGGATCTGGGTTTCTTTTTCTATGATGTTTTGAGTTCAACGTATTTTCTTTTCTAGCTTTATCTCGGGAACCAAACGGAGAATGATTTCTTGTTTTTGCAGACTTTGAGAGCTAAAGAATTAGAAAAGATGTTCCCAATTATTGATCCGAAAGCGAAACCAACTAACAAGCCGAAGATTTTTCTGAGTCTATTGTGGAAACAACTCAACCATCTTGGGTAAGTAACAGCTTAAAAAATTATACTTTAAAGCATCAAAAATTGAAGAATGTGCAAAGAATTTATTAAGTTTTGTGCATTGAATTGTAGGAATGCTGGGTTTGATCCTGCGGTGATTCGAGTAGACCCTTATGGAAATGTGTTGTACTATCATGCTGATTCTGCTTCTCCTCTTGCTTGGGACATTGATCACTGGTTTCCTTGCTCAAGTAATTCTATTAACTGGCCTTAAGTCTCTCACTTTTTATTTTTTAATGCAGTTTATGAATTGTTGGTTAACTTATGCAAATCTTTTGAATCTCTTAGGGGGAGGATTGACAGTTCCGAGCAATTTGAGGATAATACAACGGCAAGTGTACAAAAGAAAGCATCATAAGCTTGAGTTTCTTGTACCTTGGTGGGATTTGCAACTGGGTATATCTATAAACCAGTTCTTGTCAATCTTTGCTTCTTCAAATTCGGATTTCAGGTGGGATTTGCTACTGATTTCTACACTTTTTATACGTTTTGGTGTGAAAATCTAATGTTGAAGACACATTTTGTTTGCAATTTTGGCAGGCATAGGGCGTTTTCATTCTTGTTCTTGGAAGGTGAAAATGAAGAGATAAATGACTCACAGACTGTTGAGTCACATTGTTTTCCGCATCATTTCATAGAATCGAAAGAGAAATTAGGCCTAGCTCCAGCAGCCATTGTACTTTCTCGAAGGGAGTCTCATGATTCTTCTATGGCCTTAAAATCATTGGATTACAATAGGCAGATGAGGTCACAATCTCCTGCAATTGGTAAGTACAAAAAATTCAAACAGTTAGATTTTATTCTTGCTTGTGTTACTGAATAAGTAAGTATTAACTTGTGTCATTTTGGCTGTGTTACCAGCGAGAAAAGGGAAACAAAATGTCTCGAAAGAAAATGAGAACCCGGACTTTGTTACAAATCCATATCAAGCTATTGTTTTGGCCAGGGATTCCGTGAAACAAAGAGAAGAAAGTCAAAAGATGCAATTTGAAATACAGAAATTGGAGGATGATGTGAGTGATATGAGGAGAAAAAATGAAGAAGAAAAGCTTGCCATTCAAGACCTGGAGTTCGAGCTGATAAAACGTAGAAGAAGAGCAGAAAAGTGCAGGCGCCTAGCAGAAGCACAAAATTCATATAGGACGATGCTCGAGAAGATGATTCGAGATGCTATGCACCAGTAAGATTGATAAACCCTTTTGTTTTAATGTCAACAAATTGATATGTTCAGTTTGATATGTATTTAAAATTGGAAGAGTAACATATATGTTTGTTATATAGGAGTGTTGTTTATAAGGAACAAGTGAGGTTGAACCAAGCTGCAACGAATGCACTAATGGCAAGGCTTGAAGCTCAGAAAGCTATCTGTGATGCCTCAGAAAAAGAACTTCACAAGAAATTCAAGCAACGTGAAGAAATTGAGAATCAGATAAGGCCTGAGTTGGAGCAAGCCAGGAAGAGATCAAGAATGGAGGATACCTTGTTTGAAGAGAAAGACAGTAGAACAGTTCTTTATCTTCCTGGAGTCAGGCCAAGAACACCCTTACACAAAGAACTGAGAATGTTTCTAGAGGAGGAACAGAAAGCATCAGAGGCTGGATTGTCTTTAAGTGATGAAAGGAAGCATGATGAAGTTGAAGAACTACCGAACCTGGGGAAAATATATTCTAGAGAAAAATTTGAGGAGCATGATAAGTCCATTGTTGCCTTTGAGGATCACAACTCTATTGAAGATCAGCTTAAGAGGCTAGAAATTGGGAGAGAGAAAGGACTTCGTGAACCCGAAATAGAGGAAGATGAAGAGAGCAGAAAGCAGCGTGGGAAAGGGAATGTCGAGAAGTGGCTGCAAATGCTGTTGGACAACACTCAAGAAGAGCAGGAATGTCAAGATGAAAACCCAGTAGAAACAGGCAAGACTGACGACATAATAAAAAAGCTAGATCAGAAGTATCCGCAGAAAGACAAAGATATACATGTACCTGAGGAGAAGGATGTTGGAAAGAGGAAAGAAGAAAAGATCATTGAGATAGATAGAGCCTGTGACAGATAAAATTAATGCAGTAGAAGCAAGTAATGTCATTGAAGGAATTGGAGGTAGCCAGAGCTTTGAAGGGAAGGAAAGAATGGAGAAACAACAGGTGAAGGAGAAATCGTTAGTGAGGTCAGAGAGTGCCAGGGGCTTTAGGAGAATCCCATCTTCTCCATCTTTGATCTTGAAAAAGGGAGTAGACTGCATGCGCAAGAAGCCCCTGGTTATTGGCGAAGATGAGGGTTATGAGGATCATACTGCTAGCAACAATTTCATCAAGTCATCCATCAAGAATATCAAGAGAGCAGTGAAGATATAAGACTTCCACTGTTAGGTCTATACATTTGTTTTGTATCTAAAACATTGTTACTTATTTTTTTTTCATTTGTTTTCAGTGAGCCCTAATAATTGAGTGAATTTGAGTATTCAATTGTGTTAGTGTGTGTATAATATTTGGTTGTGCCAGTTACAATAACAGCTTGTTGTTTTATAAATAATTCCAGTTTTCAGTTAACTTATCTGGTGAATCCTCAACAGAGTGATAGTACTTTCTCTATGTTTTCTTCTTCCTTTGCAGTCAAGAATTGCACCAATTGCATATATCTCGAAGAGCAACGTGTTTTGAGAATGAACATTGAGCAACCAAAGATGGATAAGAAATTAATCATGGCCTTGTCAATAGGAAGAACACAACAATCTGTCACCGGAAGAAAACATATCTTTAATGACAAATTATTCATCCTCTAAATTTCAGAACAAATGTCTTCACCAGTGAAAAAAAAATCAAAGTAAAGAACATGAAATCCAGTAATAGACAGATGTTACTAATCAAATTTATTTGGATTGTTGATGATATCATCGTATCACTTAAAGTAGGAATGAGAGTCCAAAATTTCACGAGTTTCTTTGTGTTGTTCAGCCCTCGAAACCAATTGGACTCAGTTACAAGAAGACAAAGATTGCAAGAATGACACAAGAAGCTGAAAGTGATAATAAATCTGTACTTTTTTATTCATACTGTCTTCAACTTTTTGATGAATTCTTGTATCCAATTTCACAGGAAATATACACATACAACAAAAAGAGAGCACTTTCCCTACAAGTACAACAGAAGTGATTACGTTACCCATTTCTTTTGGAAGTAAGAAATTTGATTGACACCATTTCTTTTGGAAGTAAGAAATTTGATTGACACTACTTTCCATTGGCTCCGCACCACGAAGTCCCCAGGTCAATTACCTTGATCAAAGGGTAAGCCTCAAAGTGAATAGAAAACCAGCTATAATTGTCTGTTCATTGCTTAGAATGTAGTACCTTTTTGGTAGCAAGAAGTAAGACCGAAAATATTTTCCGTTGGTATCACAACACAAAGTCCCCAGGTCGATTACCTTGATCAAAGGGTAAGCCGCAAAGCGAACAGAGAACCAGCTATAACGATCTGTTCATTGCTTAGAATGTTGTGTATTTTAGTTCCAAGGGACAAATCACCTCCCAAGTATACGAACTGCTCCCACAACATCGAGTGTAGTTCCCGTATTTGTTTTTACAAGTTATAAATATTTGAAAACTCTTCCATAGCTCCAACTTATCTACTACTCCATTCTTCCCAATAACCTTCATCACCACAAGAGCAGATTCCATCCTTAAAATGGTGGAAATGTTCAGTATCCCTAACAGAAATGTCTCTGCGTACAACCTTGGAGATGAATTTCACAATATTGTGACAACTTCGGCACATGTGGAGATTCTTTGTGACCCAAATAGGCGTACCAGGGGCGGTATTTATGAGGCCAAATGCAACAGCCAGCCTCTCACTGTGCCCACAGAAGATCTCAGCTTCGGAAGACTCAACTTCATCAATAGAAACACATTTTGAACCACCAAAGTCAAATGCTTTCATTTTCTCATAAAATCCCTTCAAAACAGCATTTATTTCCTTTATGCGAGGGTGGAAATTATCACCACTGAGGAAAGCATGAACTTCTCCCTTTACTTCCACCCAACTGCATCCAGGATCAACAGCCAGCCCTTCCTCTCTCATAATCTTTCTAACTTTTGCAACTTCATCCCATTGCCCACTATCAGCATAGAGATTACACAAGAGAATATAATAACCAACATGCTTCGTATCAGTCTCAAAAATATGCTCAGCCGCAAGTTCCCCAAGCTCCACATGTCGATAGATCCTGCATGCATTTAATAAGGCTCCCCATATGGCTGCATCTGGCTTCATAGGCATTTTCTGTACAAACTCCAGAGCTTCCTCCAATTGCCCCGCACGACCAAGTAAATCAACTATACATGCATAATGTTTCAGATTTGGGGTGACTGAGTACTTCTGTTTCATGCTATTAAAATACTCCAAACCTTCAGTTACCATTCCAGATCTACAACAAGCACATAACAGTGAGACAAATGTAACCTCATCTGGATTCACTTTAGAATCTATCATTCTACCAAAGCACTGAACAGCAAATGCCCCTTGTCCCCGCTCAGCATACCCTGTCAGCAAAATATTCCAAGCTGAGACATCTCTATTGTTTGAGTTAAATTGGTTCCATGCAGGTTCCATCCTTCCACACCGTACATACATGTCCAGAAGCGAATTTGGTAGAAAGCCATCAAATCCTACCCCAGTCCTTAATGCATGAGCATGAATCTCTTTCCCACACATTAAAGCTCCTATTCTAGCACATGCAGATAGGACAGAAACTAGGGTAACAGAGTTTGGTTTTGAATTTAACTGCATCTGCCGAAAGAAAATTAAGGCCTCAAAGCACCGATTATTGAGCCGAAGCCCAACGATTATTGAAGTCCAAGAAATTACATTCTTGTGAGGTATACTGTGGAACACTTCTAGAGCTTTATCGATGCATTTACACTTAGAATACATATCAATAAGTGAGTTTGCAACAATGATGTATGATATGTACCCTGTCTTCTTAGCAAGCTCATGAAGCCTAATACCCAAATCCAAATTCCCTAAACAAGTGCAGGCTGATAGAACAGTAGCTATAGTGATCTCATCAGGCACGATACCCTCTGCATCCATCATTTCATAAGTTTCCACAGCTTTGTCAGGCAGCATATTATTCTCATAAACTGAAATCATTGTTGTCCATGACACTAAATCTTTAAATTCCATTCTACTAAAAATTTTTTCTGCTTCCTCCAAATTGCCAAAACTAGAATACATTTTAATTAATGAATTTGACACTGAAACATCATCACGAAACCCCATTCTCAACGCAAACCCATGTATATCTCTCCCTAATCTTTCATCACTAACAATCTCACACGCTGAAATTACGCTACTCATGGTCATGCAATCTGGATCCACCAAACCCTCCCTCATCATAACAAACAACCTCAACCCTTCAACACACTCTTCATTCTCGAAGTACCCAGAAATCATTGCATTCCACGATATTCTATCTCTGCGAGGCATTCCACCAAACACCAACCTCGCACCCCCAAGATCACCACACTTCACATACATAGTTATCAAAGCATTAACAACGTCAACATCAGCCTCAAAGCCAAACCTAAGCACATGAGCGTGAACCTCCTTTCCTCTCTTTAAATCTGGTACACCGCCACAAGTCCTCAAAACACAAGGGAATGTAAACACATCAGGCTTAACACAACCAACCCACAACATTCTTTGATACAAACTCAACGCTTCATCGAAAAATCCAGCTTTTGCATACCCACCAATCAAAACATTCCATGAAAACAAATCTCTCTCACACATTTTCCCAAACACATACCACGCATGACCCAAATCACCAAACCTCACAAACATACTCAAGAAGGCATTACCAAGCCTAACACTCATATTAGTCATCGCTTTTGACACAATATAATGCAAATGAATCCCCTCGTCATGACCTCTCTTCCACTCACATAACCTAACCAAATCAACAAAAGCATCTTCATCAACAGAAATATTCAGTTCTTGCATTGAATCTAGGTATTTTAAAGCTTGTTCTAGGGACCTATTAAGGCAAAGTTCATTTAAACGTGAGATGGGATTTTGAGTGGATAGCGAATTGGTGTTTTCGGTGTTAAGGACTTGGACATTTTGAGCTTGTTTTGAGGAGAAACGGTGGGTTTTAAGCTTATGAGAGAAAAACAAGGCTTTAGGCTTGATATATACGGGGTTTTGAAGATGAGGGTGGTTTTGGTGGAAAGGGATTTGGGAGGTTTTAGCAAAAATGGCCATTGTTGAAGATAGAGGTAGAGAGCATCGCTGGGGTTTTGTGTGAGGTTTTAAACGGCTAGATAGAAGATAAAGTGGGGAATGTTTTAAAGAAATAAACACTGAGCAAACGCTGACGTTTTAGCTTTTATATTATTACTTCTTCCCAGTATTTAATTAATTTTGTTTTACTTTCTTGTCATTTTAATTGGCTTTTCTTTCTCTACCCTTACAGAAAATAATATGAATATTACTTATTGCTCTATTTTCGGGTCATCTAATTTTCCTGCATTTGGTTCCAACAATGTTTTATTATCAAAAAGATACGATTATCAGTGGAATAGATAACTTTAAAAATTAACCGACATAAATTTTTATTGTGTTTGATTTGTGTGAAAAAACAGTGGAAAAACAATCTATAAAGGCCCTTTTTAGACTTTGAAGTAGAAGAATTACACACTCTCTCTATTAGATACTTTTCCTGATATTTTTTCCTAGAGGTGATCAATTCCGAGTATCCTATATTTTTTTAAGGAACAGAAACTGGTCAGTTCCTAAGATTTGGAACCAGAACCAGAACCGACCAATTCCAGTTCCTAGAAATCTGGAACCAGAACCTAAAACATAGATATTGGTTCCGGTTCTGGGTACCCTGGTAAATTTTAATTATCCCATACATTTTGAAAAATGACAAATACACCCTTAATAGTTTACAAAAATTATAATTTAGTTTTGGTTTCTACCCCAGGTACGTAGACATCGGTTTTGATTCTAATTCCCAATTCCAGCATTGTAGGAACTGGAATCGGACCCTAATGAGGTCGATTCCTGTTCCTACCCGAAATCTACAGATGGGTACCCGTCGGATCCAATTCTACCCTTTACCCACGCTGACTCCTACTTTTTTCTGTTTAATGTTCATCTAATAATAATAATGAAAATAGTAATTAAGACATATATATTAACAATGAACAAACAGTACATTCACTTGTTGTTGCTTGTACATGAAGTTTCAAACCTAATTGTAAATCCCTCTTCTTCTTCTAATTAACTCTTATATATTAAGATAATCTTATTCAGCCCTTACATTTTTATTTCGCAAACACAATTTAAATGAAATTAATACACAACTCATTTTCAATTAAAATTCTTCCATTTTTATGCATGCAGTTGAAATTAAATCCTCTCCTTATCCGAGTTTTGCCAAAGCATAATCAGATACTTTGATTTATGATATTTTGATTTAAACTCGGATAAGAGGAGAATTCAAATTCAACTTTTACGACATGGATTTTCTCCACTTAGAAGGAGTCCTGCGTGATTTAACCAATCTTGTTTTCATGTCCACTGCTGGCGTTTGTCTTCCATATCCATACATGTCATCTCCTTCTCTTTCACCTTCTTCAATCCTCTCAACAACGCTGAGAGTAGTCTTCAATGAAGAAGGCATTATTCCCAGTTTCTTCCACCTGAAGAAACCCTTCTTTTTATCCACCAACTTCTCCAGTTGCGCCTGCATGAAGTTGCATTGGCTTTGAAGCCTCAGCACATCTTCTCTCAGCTTCTTTATCTCCATTTGCTGAGCGTTCACTTCACGTTTTGATAGGCAACGAGCTGCAGGTGGGTCCAGCCCGAGATAAGGACTCCTGGTTCCGTTAAATGAGCCACTCCAATCGAGCTGTTTATTGAGCTTAGATTGTTCGGAGAAAAGCACTTGAATCACAGCTCGAACAGGTAAACGTTCATTCTGTGCGGCATGAAGTGATGCTTCTGGTGAGAGCTTTCGGCTGTCAATTAATCTACAAAGAAGCTTCCTTTCTTCCTTTGATACCCCAGGATGTGCCTACAAGGAAATTGATTATTTTATAGTTGCAATATAATTATACATACCATAGTTTAAATAGAGGTTACATTCACCACCAAAATAAAGTTCTCCCCCAGGGCAGAACCTGCATCGAGTGCGAGCTTTCTTGCTTCTGGATTAACGTACAGGATATTGCACCTGACAATCGTCAGGAAATGTCTGTTGGAGACATTGGTCCCCGATGCATGCAGTCATGCACAAATTTCAATGCACAGATATTATGCACCGACGCTTGTTTCCTCGGGATAATATGAATCAGTCACACTAGTTCCGACACATTTCTATGCCAGGAAAGAAGCAGCTTCTTCTCCGACGCCATATTTCATAACATTATTAGTAGAGTTGTTAAATATCCAAAGCCTTAAGAGTTCAAAAAACCTAAGAAAAGTGTCACGGGACGTTTGAAGGAACATAAAGTAAATTTTAGAAACAGATAAATAAATGTGGAGACATTTAAGTGAAGAGGAATTTCTTTTTTTCTTTTTTTCTTTTTGGGGGGTAACCAAGGTGTCCAGGTAGTTTCCGCGTACCTCAACTAATCCCGAGAGTCTATTGAATACACTACAAGTCTAGAGGGGCTAGTCGGGGTTTGAAGAGGAATCTTTGCACTAAGAAATGGACATAAGTTGAAAGACTATGTTAGTTTTTAGGCAGAGAGTCAACTGCCAATTGGCTTGGCTTTTCAAGTAATGCATTTTCCAGATGGTTTATAAGTGGACAGCAGAAAATCCAAGTTATTTCAGGTCTAGGTTCACCACAAGAAAGATAAAGGGGCATCTATTTCAATTAACATACAACCTGCAAGATTTTAACCACCAAATTGGTCACATGAAGAATCTTTTGTTGGTGACAACACCTCAACAACCACTACTGCTTTGGTCCAAAATTGATTGTATTGTACCTCTAATTTCTTCCCTTTTCTTGTTTCCTTTGCTGATTAATTTCATGTATCCTCTTCTGGGTCAGTGATATATAGTATTAGAATGAACATTACTATGCACTATGTTGTTTAAGTGAATAATTGAATTACACTATTAGAAAAACAGTTTTCCTTAACAGTCAAGAACCCTTTTAATGCAAAAAACAGAGTATTAAAAGAAATTAATGTTAAGGATTTTCTTCACGGTCAAAAGACTGTCTAATTGGAGAAAGAAACAATGGACTGAACATGGCAAGGAAAGAACCAGTACTAATGAATCACAAAGCTCAAAAAAACAAACACAAAACAAAACTTTAGTGTTGAAAAACTTACTTTAAGGTAAGTATCAATGGCGCGGTACAGCCCATCGTCTGTTGCACGGGCATGGCTAGGCAGGGCACTAGCAAGTTCAACGAAGTCTGATAAGCTTAAATTCGAATCCATGGCGGCTTCAGCCAAGTAACAATCAACAAGCTTCGCAACTTTAACCAAAGCAGCTCCACTTTTAGCCCCTTCGCTATCCAAGTTAATGAACCTCTTCACCAGCCTTGAAACTAACTCAACATCGAGCAATGTCCCACAGGTGTGACTAAACGAGGGTATCAGAATCTCCTTCAATGAAGCTTGGTCCAGTTGCCATGAAATCCGCTTCTCCAACTCGTCCCTGAAGGTCGGCTCAACGTTGACCATGTTGGCAGTCCGGAGAAGACGAAGAAGAAAGTTGCATGGAAGGGAGTCCTTCTCGGGAGGTAAAATTCCCACTAAAGTTTCAACAAAAAACCTCTTCTTCATCCATGAAGCAGTGACACTTTCCGGTGATTCTTCGAAGTTGGTTAGACCCTTTTTCATGACGTCGTTGGAGAGGTCCGGTAGCCATTTTGATGCATAGTGAGCTATGATTGAGCCAATGAGGTCAGGCCGGACCCCCTTCGCTTTTATGTCCGTTATGGTCTTAACAAAATAGTCCATGTCAAGAATGCAGGCATCGTCAAACCAGCAGTCAGCAAATTGGGATGGTTTTCCCGGGCAAGTAACAGAATCCGGGAGGGAATATTTCTTCATTATGGGGTTGTTAATTTTGTTGATGATGGAGTTGTAGTATAGAAGGAATAGAGTGGAATGTATATAGTTTATATAAAGTAATGTAAAACTGAGGTGAAAAGAGATTATATAATAAGTACTACTGTAATAATACCGTTTGGGTTTGAGAGGTTGTGAATGAACAGGAAGAAGGATAAGAGATGGAGAGTGAAGACAAGTTTCTTTAAATGCGCAATATTCCCATGATCCAGTGACACTCGACACATCGTTATATTCGACACTCGACACATCGTTATATTCATTCTCTGATGTGCAGAAACAACGTAAAATATATAGCTATTTCCACCCAAGCTCTGAAAGAGACTTGAAACTGATAAGGACTCCCTCCCTCTCTCTATACACCTCATATGTGACGTGTTTTTACGATTCAAGTGTATTATTCAAGATTTATTCTTGATTTTCAATGAAATTTTTGTATGGATTACAGTTCTGTATTTGTTCAGATAAAAACTCAGATGTATGTACAAATGCTAGCTATCTGCATGTTTCTATATATGCGAGCGTTTTATGTGGGAGAGATGACAAAATATGTAATTTCCAAATGAACGTCTACTTTCGCAGGCTGCGTCTTGTTGCAATAGTGATACTGTGAATGGTGTGGGGAAAGAGAACCTTTTCGTGGTGGGGGAACAAAATTTAATTGATGGGTAAATTGGCTTTCTTAATTAAATGATTAGAAAGGAAGATGAAGGAAAGCAATGTACCAACTGTTATGCAAAGAAATGTACAAAAAGAGAGCATTAAATTTATGATCCCAGTTTTTGTATGCTTTTGCATGGTACAACCAACACGTGAACTCTTGATTTGTCTGTTTGGTATCCAGCATCTGCATCTCTGGCCGCCACTACTTACTGTATCCATGTGTAACTTGGTCGAACCTCTAACTAAATGGACCACACCCCACGCTGTAATTCTCCTGCAGACATTCCCAGCTCTAGACTACACACAGTTCTTCTTGAAGAAATAGGCCTTAAAGCCATTCAAAACATCCAGTCCACCACTGCCTAAAATGGGCCTGTCCTATACCATACTATATATCTCATATATTATTCAACGAGTTTGAGTCTCTTAGCAGAGGTGAAGATCTTGAACCAAAAGTGGACAATATTTTACTTAGATGCGGATTCAGACAGTAAAATTGAAGATATAGCTTGCAAACCTTATGGAGATTATTTACAAATGAGAGGGCAGTTCAGCTCTTCAAGACTATGCTACCCAGTTAATAACAAAGCAGAACAGCAGACTTGCAATAGGAAATTAAAGAAGGGAAGTACAGTTTCTGAAAAATCAATCGAACACTCTGATGAGGGTGAATTTCATATAAATTAAATGGTTTTTATTAATATGATATCAAAATGCAATTCTACAAAATACAGGAATGTCAAAATAAACAGATACTAAGCTCATTATCTACTGCAAAAAGGACTTAAAACAGTTGGGAGCAGACATGTTTTTAGCTATTATTTCTGTAATTCGCAGAAAAAGTCCTACAACAAACTATTCATGTAACGGTGCTCCCCATTCTTCTTGCAACAAGAAATAAAAGAATTATTTCAAATATTGCGGGGAGTAGAAGTTTCGCTCGTTGAGTCACCTGTTGCGGGATTGAATGTTGAACCACTTGAAAGAGAACCATTTCCGCTTTCATTTCCAGACACGATTGGGATCTTAACAGCAGCTCTTTCCATCTCCTTCTCAAGCTCTTCTTCTTGTCGCAGAGAAGTAAACTGGGTATCCAAAGACCTGGCTGCCGCTAACCATGCAAGAACAATCACCAAAAGTATCCCTCCAAGATAAGGAGTTGAGTTCGCCAGCGACCCAAAGGTCAAGATCATAAACTGCTGAATAAGAGCTCCTCCAGATTTCCCCAATGGGTTGCACACAACATCAATGGCTGCCTTTCCTTTAACCTGAAGAAAATAGCATTTAATCAGCAAAGTCAACAAAATATGGGCTGTGGCACGAACTTCAGTCTATAGATAGTGCTAGATAGTGTGTCATATCAAACTTCAAAAATGCCCACATTTCAATACCTCAACCGATTTTACCCTTTTTACAATAAAACTTGAACCACCAAAGACAATTAACATTTTTAGATAGTAATTGGTATTAAACACAACTAGGTTGAATGCCACACAGAACTCCAAAAACCTGATTATCAAGTAAGAAGTTCAAACCTTGGTGTCCTCGTCTAAAGGAATATAGGCCATTTCTTTGCAAGGATCAAACAAGCTGTACTTGGCACTCTTGCTGAAAATGTTTTGCATGGCACCTACATATACGGCTGCAAGAAGTGGAGTCAACCCAAACTTTGCAAGAGCAGGTGCGAAGGGATCCCCAAATAATATTAGAGAAAAGAAACCAATTCCTGTAAGCAGGAGGACTGATGGTGTGATCTTCGCAGCCACTCCCCATCCATATTTATCAAATATAAATTGGCTGAGAAGCATCATCGTAAATGTTGCTATTCCAGTTGCAGTTGAGAAGTCGCCCATAAAGGATGAGTACTCATTTGGGCTTGGAAACTACAAAATTGTAGGTAAGAGAATGTGAAAATAAATAAATAAAACATCGATATTTTTAAGCCCATGATAAAGAAAGAAGATACAGGAATAAACAAATGCAATTACCTGAGCCTTGAGCTTCGATTTCCAGGTAACCTCTACAAGATTGATACTTATACCATATGCAACCACCAAAGTAGCAAGATCCCTAATGTATCTTGAAGATACCAAGAATTTCAAGCTCTCCATTGTTCCCATCTTTGGCTTATCCTGCAAACGGAATCAAAAATGGGGAAAAAAGTGAGTTTACCAATCACAAGTAACTGTTCATAAAAAACATGTTTTTGCACCTATTTTTACAAATGTGTGCTATTGGGTGTGTCTTATCTTAATTAATATACTCGCATTGCATGTTAATGATATAAAGTAAATTCAAAATATTTCATTCATGGATGGTTTTGATAAATATAAGGACAATACTTGCTCACTTGAGATGCTAAACAGATATTATTAGGAGTGCAGTTTATCCTATGAAAACAAATATAGTTTTTCCTGCACTGAAAAATGAAATAGCGAAATTGTTTTTCTGTATCTATTAATATATGAACAGACTCAGATACCTAATAATTGAAGCAACCAAATACCATTATAAAAACATCTTATGAAAGCAGAATAATACCTTCTTCTTCTTACTACGGGTAGGAAGAGGAACATAAGTGTTCACCCACCAGTAACAAGCACAGATCGCAAGCCCCATCAGAACCACAATACTCATCATTCCTTTCAAGGAGACGGCCCAGCCATCGACTCCAGGACCCAAATTTTTCCTCAAATTAGAGAAATACTTCACTGTTCGGCCTGAGAAAATAAGGGCAACATTGGCTCCAAGTCCAAATAGAGGGTAAAATCTTTTGGCTTCGTCAACGGTAGTTATCTGCACCAAATGTAAATAGTATTTTACTTAAAACTTTTATATCCCCAACAACCAAAGAAAATCGAGAATTAACTGAGGGGAATTTCAGACAACCACAAGTTAATTTCTGGAAAATTATACATGAAGCTAAACATCATTTTAGAGACAAAACAAAGAAAGCAGAACCAAAATCACTAAAAATGCCAACAAAACAAAAATAAGAAGTATTTTATATCAACAAATTGCCTATATCCTAAAAGAAAGCAGCAATGCTTCTGCAAATTTAGCTAAAAGCTGAACCAATTATTTGAAAGTACAAATGACATTATATTGCAGGGTATTTTCTTACTCTTCGACACCAAAATTTAACCCTGATATAATGGATGGAGGAGGCCATGAGAGATGCTATGATGAGAAAGAAAACACCTAGAGCACCTATACTAGTAATTATGTCGTGATAATTATTAAATAAATCCATAAACAAGCAAAAACAAAATCACACCGACATTTGCAAACCATTTAGTAGAAATCAAATGTAAACGGAACAACTCAAAGAGCAAATATGTTGTCAAAAATGCATCGCATAACTATATATTTCTTGCAACATTTGACAATACATCATATAACCTACAAAGTGCATTCAAAAACATCTCATGCATGCCAAAAAAAAGATGAGAAATGTATAAATCAGAAGGAAACATCCTCAATTGAAACATCTGACTGATTACGCTAACTTGTTTCTGAATTCACAGCATAATTGAGAAAATTGCCCGTATTTTTTTCACAGCTATTACTTAAGGGCTACAATCTTATACCATAATTATCATTTACCAATCCAATGAAGAGACAACCAAGTACATGAGTAACTCCAAAAACATCACCAACCAGCACCCGAGAAGTTATTAAGACAATCATAAATTTGATTCAACCTAATAAATTCAATCAGTGACAAAGATGATCAACCAACAAATTCAATATTGGCAGACATTTTTCAGTGTTTAAGCAGCATATGTGGCAGGAACAAACAATCAGGACTCTCTACCACAAGAGTTTTATCAGTGCAGATAAGATGAACAAATAATATGTAAAAACAAATTATTCTGACACCAGAATTAAAATCAACATAAAAAAGAATATCCATAAAATTAAAAGAGCAAAAAAATAATAAATAATAAGCGTTCATAAAATTGTTTAATCACCTGATTAGCAAATCCCCAAAACAAAACAGAAATCACCACACTGCCCCAAAGCTCAGCCATGACATAGAACAAACAGAAACTCCAAATCCTCAGAATTGCCAGAGGACCAAGAAACCTTGGGCCAAGTGTGTGAAGAAGCTTATCAGCCAGAGCCTCAGGGTGGATATAATTGCTAAGAGGATACAAAACAAATCCAAAGGCCCCAAAAAAGGCAATAAAGGGGACAATAACAGTGTAAAACAAGGCCTTCTTGGACAAGACATTAGCCAATTTTGTGTATAATAACATGAACCCAATAGCCATAGGCAAGTTGACCCAAGTCTTCAAAAATGGGATAATCTCAGCACTGCTCCCTTTCGCCGTCACAACCAACACATCCTTTGTGTCTCTAAGGATTGTGTAATTAAACAAAATACAAAAGAACATTAACCCAAGAGGGATAATCTTTTTCAGAGTCACAAGTTCAATCCCCAAGAACTTCGGTGAATCATCCTCGCCCAACAAAGGCTGACCATCAGCTGAAGCAGCCGCCTCAGCTTTGCAAACATGCAAAGGTCTCTCCTTTGAGACAAACAACCCTTGTGGTTTTGACACAGAGCCACAGACTTTCGAAACCCCATTTGAAGATAATGAAAACCCACCAAAGGGCTTCGGTTTAACAGCCAAAAGTCTCTGCTTTAACCCATTAGATGGTTGCAAAGTTCTGATTTTGGGATTCAATGGTAGAGAAAGAAGCCCTCTTGTTTGCAAAACAGCTTCCATATCTCTATCTTCTCCCCTCCCACTATTAGCTTTTCTCAAAGAGAGATTTCCACAGAGAGATTGAGATAAGGTGGTGGCTTGGAGAAAGTTTTTTCCTCTCAAAGAAACAATAGGGTTGGCTTTCTCTTTAAAAAAAAAAAAAAGTTATCTTTCACACGCTAAGGTAACAAACAAAACAAAAACCCTCCCAACCCCAGACCAAAAAAAAAAACTACTTTTGAGAGATAAATGCTTTCATCTCTAAATTAAAAAAAAAAAAAAAAATTGCAGAAGGAGGATTTGTTTGTTTGTGATTATGGTGTTAAAATTTGTTAATAAGAAGACAAAGTTGGTTTGATGGAGGCGATTTAAGAGAGAACAGGTGGAAGTGAAGCAGTGAAAAGTTGAAGAGTGGGATACAGTCAAAGGGCAAAGAATCGCAGAAGGATCCTCTGAAATGACGGAAATGGGCTTAAGATATTTCTCACTTTTTTAATGCTTTGTGGGGATTCATGAGGGCTATGAAAGTAACATGTAAGACCATACTTGTGTAAGCGTGTGGCTTCTTCGTTCACTTGTGGGCATTTTATTTTATATATAATTATTTATTTTAAGAAATTTGAGATTTTTATTTTATTTTTAAATTTACCTTTTATATTGGTAGTCAGTTTAAGTAATTTTAGATCTACTCGTAATCTAAATTCAAAACATTGAATAAAATTATGTAATTATTTTTTGTTATTAAAAGGAAAATATTATACCTAAAATTTCACATGGTGACATGTGTCATTGTGCCCTCAAGAAAAGATAACTAATTGAGAGAATGAATCAAGCTTGATTCTCTTTTTTATCCACTAATTCAACCCTAAATACCATAAAATGCCTATATTCAAGTTTCTAAATTTGAAAGCCTCTCTCTATTAATTTATATTTAAGAATTATGAAAACCGAAGCCCTCATCTCTAAAAAGCGTAATAATCTTATTTTTCTTATCAAATTTTTATAATTTATTAAACCAACATTCATATTTTTATTTAGAGTAAACAACTTTTCCCACCCATAGTTTGCCTGAATGACACTTTCTCATCCAAAAAGTTTCAAAATACAACTTTTCCAACCAAAGTTATTATTATGTTACTATCCAAAATTGATTCCAATCAATTCCGACAGAGAAAATTTTCTCCGTCATCACCATTTGAACCTTCAGTCTCCTCTCTACAAAACTTCTCTCACTCCAATACCTGATTTTTAGTCCATTGAAGATCATCGCAAATCTAGGGTTTTCCGTTCTTAGCTAATTTTGGATTGATTCAGAAGACCAATATAAAATAGAAAACAAAAATAAAAAAAAAAAAAAACAAAAAAAAAAAACTCTAATAAAAAAAAAACAAAAAAAAAAAAAAAAAACAAACAAAAAAAAAAAAAAAAATTTAAGGATTAACAAAATATAAACTTTAGGTAGAAAAGTGATATTTTGAAATTTTTTAAGTAGGAAAGTGTCATTAAAACAAACCTTGGGTGAAAAAAAAGCAATTTACTCTTTTATTAAGGAATATTATTGAATCGATATGCCATGGTTTATTATAATGTGGCAATTACAGAAGGGATTCTTCACAAAGAGTTATTAAATTCCAACTATATTCTGAAATAATAAACGTGACATAATAAGATGGTCCATTATATGTTTTTGTCAATTGCATTTTCCGTCGTTGACAACGAGGTACACCTCGTCAAATTAGAATGCATGCTGAATCATGAACCGGCACGTGCTTAATTAGAAGAGTTGTTGGTTACTTTAGCGTGAAACATTCATATCATTTTTATTTATTTATTTATTTTTTTTTTTTTTTTTTTTGCTAAGTACATGCATATCCCTTATTGGCTTTAATTTTTTTTTTTTTTGGTAATCGGGATATCCAAGCAAGCTCGTGCATATCTTAACGAATCTTAGATTCATTGAACACCCTATAAGTTCAAAAGACCAAATAAATCATAATATTATTATAATAGGTGATCCCAAAGTTTAAACCCAAAAACTCAAAAAAGAGAACAAATCTCCTTGACCATTAGGTTAACCTCTTGGGTTTATTAGCTTTAATTTATTTTAAACAAAAAATAAAAACAATAAATTTATAACCATATTTAATAAACTTACCCTTCAACAATATTAATAATAAAATTTATAATTTTTTTATATAAAAAAAAAAAATCGGTAATATGTTAAGCCGTATAATGACCAATTGAGCACTTTATTATATATTTGTAAAAGCAAAATAAACATCATTTTCATGAATAGGTTGATTTGAGTCTTAATCAAACAGCTGCTTGCATTTGAAAGTTTTTTAATTTCACATGGCAAAAATGACCTTAAAGACCATTGTTTTCATTCTAAGTCAAACATTGAAGGTTGGTGGCAAGCCAACTTCAATATGTTTACGCCTTTAATTTTCAATATTGATATTTAGTTTACAAATTAAAAAAAATACCAATTGAAAATACAATATTGTACACTAATATAGTGTATTCATTAAACAATCAAATATATTTATTACTTTTTCTTAACAATCAAATATATTTATTATTTTTTCTTAAATATATTGTATTTATGGCTTATCAGGAACATTGAATTTGTATAGTATTCAATGAATCCTGATGATTAACTGAGGTACGTGTAAGCTTTTTGGACACCCCGGTCATAAAAAAAAATTAAATATAATACTCCAATTATAGTTTTATTTATATGGTATCTTAAAGAATATTCATAGTAGAAAGTGAAGGCAGTAATAGCGGAGTAGATATGCTTACTTAAAGGTAATATTAATTAAAAAGCATATTTTATATAAATTGGGGCGGCTTCATGCCTCCTCAATTTCCAAAGTGGGGGCACAAAACAAAAGGCCACAACTTAGCGTATATAAATTGAAAAGAGCGCCTCTTGGAATCATAACATGTATTTTATATAAGCAACTTGCAATTCAATGACCTTCCATTTTAAGCTTTTGCTATGCTTCCAAAATACATGCGCCGAAGTTTAGGGTTTAACCATGGATTAATTTTTTTTTTTTTAGTTGATCGAGATATCCGAGTCAGTTTACGATATATCTTGATTAAATCCTCAGAGAAAGTTATTTCACATCAACTCATTGTCGCACCTCCCAGGTAATCCCTAGGATATACTTTTGCGTCCATCGGAGAATAGAACTTTAAACTGTGCATTAAAGTCATGCATGATCCCCTTAGTTCGCCTTTACCAAACAGTTGTAGATACCAATTTTGGTTAAATGGAAATTATGGTTATTCATATGTTATATTTATAATTATATTATAAGATCTAAAGGGGTGTTTTCGTAATACTAATTTTTTTGGAAAGTTTATTGTTTGGTAAGACCTCGTACTAATACATTGTGCATAATATTTAACAATTAATGCATGACATTTTCATATTATTCAGAATAAATAAATAAATTTGAAATTTATAGTAAAATAATATTCCTTAACTTAAGGTTGAAATTTAAGCTATAAAAGCAAAAGGTTCATTTGCAAATTCAAATTAAAAGCTGGGGTGTGAAAACAAGTCAAAGTCCAAAAATTCCTTCCAAGAATTTGACGGAAGAATAAGACCGAATTCGGCAGCCTAAATAGAAAAAGCCGGTCCATTTTTCCCATGTAAATATTCCATCCCATGCTGTATTGTATATACATAATGTCTTGCAATAAAAATAAGATAGAATATTCAATCCAACTTTTATTGTAGATAATTTTAGTTTTAGCCCCGCTAAGTCAAGTTTTTACAAATAAATAAAAATTATATATTCCAACTCAATCTAAAATCCTATGTGTTTGAGTCCTAGAGGTGAAATCAAGTTGAATCGAGTATCTAACTACTCAAACTCCGCTAGATTACTACAGTACTGAATTCAAATTCAAATTTGAGCCTGACCGAGCCTAGGGAATTAAATTCGATCTCGAAATTGGTATCTAAAATTAGAATTCAAGTTCGAATTCGAGCTTTAATCGAGTTTTAATTAAGCTTTTCGAATAGAGTTGTACCATAATCGAATTCGACTCAAATTAGTATTCTAGCTATTTGAGCTCAAGCGCTCATGAGCGGCTCGGCTTTGTTTTCACCCCTATGTTTGATCTTTTTTCGTAGTGAACACTTGCAGGTTTTGGAAGTCCAGTCCTAACCCTTAGTTTTAATTGACCATTAGGTTATTTTGTTTAAATTTGAAAGAAACGTGTTTTTACTATCCACTAAATTTTAATCAATCTAATATCATCTTTTTTAAGCAATAATATTTTGTATTTGATTTCCAAATAAAAAAAAAATGAGAAAAACACTTGTTTTGCATCTTGTTTTAGAATTTAGAAATGTGATTTTTGAAAATGTTAATATTGTTTTTTAGATTTTGCGAAGGGAAGTTGAAATTATTAGTTTGTTTTAAGGGTTATTATTCATTGAAGTACACTTTTTTAAAAAACACAGTTTAATTTGTATCAATAAATTGACACATATGTTAATAACATTTTTCTATCAATAAACAAACACTTTTTATTTATTAACAGATTTTTTTTTTTTTTTAAATATCTTTTGATTGATGAAAGTGTCGTTTAATGATAAAAATGAAACTTCTATCATTTTTCTTTAATTTTTAAAAGAAAAGTCCTCCAATGAATAATAACCCTTGTTTTAAATATTTATAAGAACCATTTTTTTTAAAAAGGTATACATGTTTATATTGATTTACAACTTTTAATATCTACCAAAAATATAATTTATTTTCTAAAAAACTTGATAAAATATTTAGATCTCTATCATGGTATTGTTAAATTTCTTTTATGTTACAATATTTTATATCAATAAATTGTAATAACTATTTTTATTTTAACATTATTGGTGAAGAAAATAAAACACACATTTACGAATAAAAAACTACTTAAAATGCTTTCAAAATAAACACTATGATATGTGCTTTTTTCATGCAAAAGTAAAACAAAAACAAAAATATTAAAAATTATTTTTGACTTATTGGGCAGCTTCACTATACTAATGAACCCATTAAAATTGGTCAAACGTGGGATTAATAATAGTTATCAATCAATGTCATTTGGGTAACAGTTAGCATTTTCAGACTCAAGTGTCTAATGTTTTAAATCTTTGTCTTGAATTAAATAATTTAAAACATGTCTTAATTA